CCAGGTGTTCAAGGACGGCACGAGAGGTCGGGTTCTTCAAAATATACCGCAAACGAGTGGCCTTGGCGAGAGTGGCTACCCCGGGGAACGCGAGCGGCATGTGAACGTCAATCAGCTGCACGCAAAAATTGTGAGACATCGCTTTACGGGGCCCGGCCGTGAGATACATAACAGCTTCACGATAAGCATGCAAGAGATGAGAGTTGATAGGGTGGAGCTGGAGGATGACTGAGACGACCGAGACGCACGCGACTTCGAAGGCAAGGATGGAGGGAGTAAGGCCGAGTCCCAGCTTGCGAGTCACGATCGCACGCTTGCGTAACTTCATTAGGGCCTCGCCCCACACATGCTGAACAGCGTCACGACCAGTATAGATCCCAAGGTATTTCACAATCGAGAGAACCTGAATCAACTTTGGGCCCCCTTTGAGAATTTGTATGGGGTCTTTGAGGCGCTGCAGGTCCGGGGGGCCCACGACGCAAAGCTGGCACTTCCTGAAATTCAGGCGGAGCCCCGCTATGTTTTCGAACCGGCCAATCGTAATGAGGATGGGGCCCAGGGAGCTGGCGACATGACAGACGAACATAGAAATCGTCCGCTTGGGCGAACGTCGAGTCTATGTGTTGGGATTTCTTATGCATGGCCACCGTAGGAGCGGGTCGGCTGCGAGAACGAACAACTGTATGCTACTCGGGCAGCCCTACTTAACGCAACTGGACATGCTGACCTCTCCATACTTGCGGCCACCGAAAAGAACAATGACGACGTTCTCCTGAAAGAGGGAAAAGAGGAGACAAGGCAGGCTCAATCATCATGGCGGCGAATCCATGCAGCAGAGAGGTGCACGACGGACCATGACCACACGACGGTGCTCGGGAGCCAGAAGCGCTCTGAAGGGAAGCTTCGCAAGATCTCGAGCTCGTCGCAGATCCACCCTCCCGACCTCGTCAGGGTGATCTGCCGGGCCATCCACAGGAACGTGAAACGACCCGCCGACGGCCGGAATGCCGCAGTGGCCACGTGCGACGCCTCAGCCAACGGACCTGCCAAGCGAGGCCCGGGAGGCGACCGCCCCGCGTAACCCCCCACGCTGCCCTCGGACACGCCGTCCTCCCGAGCATGACGCTCGTCCCGAAGCTGGCGAAGAAACAAGCCCGAACTCTCGGATGCCATAGGGCGGATGATCGAGAACTGCGACGTGTGTGCTGTGACCAAATATACCCACGCTCCACGGCACCGTCCAGGCTGCCGACGCTGGAAAAAGAGATAGCCACTTCGAGTTTGACGAGGTGGTGCCTGCTCTTCGTAGATACCACCTGGGCCTAATTATCTTGACAAGCCCAATAAGAACGAGACCACCCCAATTCTCAACATCGTTGAGTAGAACACTGGGGGGCCAATGGTGATTTGGCTCCCGGACCGACAGCGCCATGCCATCCGCCGAGCATACCACCAGTTCTGGGTGCGCGCCTGCAGGCGACCCAAGACCCAAGCGCCCGATTAGCGACCAGGAGAGTGTTCGCCGAGTGTTCGCCGACCGAGCCACTTGCGGAGGGCACCAGACTAGGTCCAATCCGTGCGGAGAGCGAATACCAGAATGGCAAGCTGGAGACAGCTGGGCCACTGTCTGTGGAAGCGGACGTGCTACTGGAGCAAGCTCATCGAACCAGTCTTGAGTGCCGCGGACCAGGAGGAGCTCTTCGAATCGGTGAGCTGCGCCGTGAACGAGCGCAGGCCCGACCTGCGGGTACTCGGCCGAGAGATCCCTCTACCAGAATGCTCCTACGAGGACGAAAGAGACGTCAATCTGGAGACCGTTTCGCTGCATGCGCCCAGAGGCCGTTCGCTGGCGCGGGCTATCGGCCTGCGACCACCAGCCAGGGGGGCGTTCGTCCGTGAGTCTTTACTGGGCCGCCTGGACCGCGCGAAGAACAAGAGCACGCCAAACAGAGGAGTGAACACCAGGCGACGAGCCTGGGAACACCGGCGCGGGCCAGTCACCGTGATCAGCGCGGATATCCCAGGCAAGGTTTACATGTCCTGCCAGGGCGGCGTCATCCTGTGCAGCTGCGAGCCGCCACTCAAGCAGATGTGCAGGCGAACCGCTCCGCGGCAGAAGCTGGCGGAATCAGGGCACCCAAAGGGAGGCAGGGCAAGCGCAGTGTGGAGAACATCTCATACCAGATGGAGCCTCCCGATTCCAAGCAGAGCCCACACGTTGCAGCGCGGACGAGCTCGGAGCCAACGACTGGCGAAAGAACAGAGAGCCGCGGTGACCCGAGGTCCTCCCGGATCATGCCCGACGGTGTGCTTCCCGAGGGAGAGCACGAGGAGGAGGAGGAGGCGGACACGGCGATGGAGGACATCCCGCTCATCGAGAAGGACGTCGAGCCCGAGGATGTGCCACGACGATGCTTCACCGCCATATGAGGTCCGCAATCGGCGTCTACTCTCCAGGATCGGTGCCAGACAAGCATGCCAATCCCAAGAAGACGGTGGACGAAACGCCAAAGCTGCCACCCGTCGACGTGGAGATCGCGGAGTCTGCTTGCCAGGCCGCGGAGACAGCCTACCTATCCATCAAGCAGACAGCGGAGCGCCTGAGGAGCGAGAGCATTTCTTCGAGGCGGGAGACCTGGAGCGGCGCAATATCCTGGCGGCGAAGATGGTGAAGATCGTGACGCCCGCGGAGGCGAAGCGCATCCGACAAGAGATGCCGAGCAAGATCATGACAAGGACGGAGGCCGCATAGCGAAGTGCTGGTGGGTCGTCCGTGGAGACCGCGATCCAAACATGGCGGAGGTCGGCACCTACTCGCCGATGGTACCCAAGGAGGCCTGGATATGTGAATGCAGCTCAACATCTCCACTGGCTTCGAAATCGAGCTCGGCCTTCATGAACGGGCACCGCTCCAAAACGAAGCAGGGACCCCTGTACTTGGAGCTTCCTGTGGACAGCGTTGGGGGAGCCCCACTGGGGTCACTCTTGAAGGTGAAGGTCTGCGTCTACGGACTCGGCGACGCGCCATTGCAATGGCACAAGAGCTTCACAACGGTGGCGATCCAGGCCAGCTTCCAGGTCAGCTCCTACGACCCCTGCCTACCGTACCTACACGAGGGAGGTAAACACAGTGGGTCATTGGCCCTGGCGGTCGATGACACCAGCAGTGGAGGCGGCGAAGACTTCTACGAGACGATGAGCAAACCCAAGAACAAGTTTACTATTGGTGATCGACACAACAAAAGAACAACACTTTCCCAAGCAAGCAGTAGGAGCAGCTACCGGACAAGTCTGTCAAGGTCAACCAGAAAGGCATGGTCGAGATCGAGCTGATCAACATTCCTGCGAGTCGGCGGGCCATGCCGAGCGAGACGTGCGACGAGCGAGAGGGATCCGCCCTCTGGGCGGTGGCTGAGTCACTCGACTACGTCGGGCGAGAGACAGGGCCAAATCTCAGTGCTCCTGCAGAGCACAACTTCCCCAAACCGAAGGTGCTGGACTTGCTGGAAGGCTGCCGCCCGGAGCGCAGCGGCAAGGACTTCTCCCACACCTGCTGGTGGATCCGGCCGATCGACCTGCAGTACCTGGGCTTCTACACCGCGACGGATGGAACTCGGGCGAACGCGAAGGACCAGCCGAGCTGGGCCAGCTGGATCCTCATGGCTGGCGACATCTGCAGCTGCGAAGGCAAGTGGGGATGTATCTCACCGCATGCGTGGCGGTCCCACGGGCTGGCGTGGGAGTTACCGAGCTCCCTGGCGGCGGAGCTGCTGGGCGCGGACGAGGGCCTGACGAACGCGATTTACCTGAGGGCGATCTTCACCCAAGTCGCCTTTCCCGGGCTCGCTGCGACGACGGCGCCTGGATATGGACGAAGCGATCACGGACAGCAAGTGCCTGCACGGCCACCTGTACAACATCCCAACTGGTCCAAGTTATGACTGGAGGACGGCACTTAGCATCGCGATCCTACGCGATAGCATGAAGGACAGCCAGGCTGGGATCTGCTGGGAGGATGGCAAGGCGCAACCATATCACCGACCCACTGACAAAGAGAAACGGCTGCGTCCACCTGCAGCGGGGAGTCCTACAGAGAGGTGAGTTCGTGATCGTTGAAGAGGACCGAGCCCTCACAATCAGGGAGGAAGAGATGAAGTCCCGCGTGACGAGGCGAGGAGCTTTAAATCGGGCTACCCGACCACCCGGTGAGACAATGGCCACGCCTGTCCCACCAGTTAGCTTGGCTCCATATGAGTCGATTTTATGTACACATCTAGAGCGTTGCGCTCTTGGTTACTCTTGCGTGCGCGCTCTTTCAACTTTTTAGACAGCACCTGCTTGAGCCTTGTACAGCTCGGGGGAGGAATATTTTGGCTGGATGAGGTGTCATGGCATCTAGAATTCTGGGGCGCGCAAGACGAATCCTAGAGGATCTGCAAGTACACCAGAGATGCCTGACCCCTAGCCTTTCCTCCTCCGTACCCATTATGGCTCATGCAGGGGGTTCGGCCCCTTTGAGACATCAGAGCTTGGACTGAACGGGTCGCATCCAGATGTCTTTATATCGACCAGTGTCCCACCAGGATTGGTACAAACAAGTAAGGGCTCCTGAGAGCAATTACCCTCCATCGGATTTGAGTTTCCCAGGCGTCTCGCCTCAACATTGTGCTAAGAGGGTCCAGGAAGAGCAAAACGAATGCCACACAAACACAATAAGAGTCTACATGACCTCCTTCACGGCCTAAACCCCAAGTGGTGACTGCCCAAGAAGGCTCCAAGAGGCCCCCAAGACAATCCCAAGATACTCCCCAGATGGATGAAAGTGGCCCAAGTCGGCGCAAGAAAATCCCAAGTGGGCCCAAAGACGGCCCCACAGGAGGGGCGCCCTCAAAACATTGGAGACGAGAAATGTCACATGTTACGGCCTTCTAGGCGGTCCCCGGAATTTCGCCGCACGATACTACTCTGGCACTGTGGCGGAACTTGCCGCAGGCAGCTGACTACTCCTCGGTGGGTAATTTCACCTCGATCGGCGACCCCATATAATCGTACATCAGTCGCGTCAACGAGAACCGGCCGTCAGGGTCGACAAGCTCCCACACATCGGTTGAAACACGATACTTGATAAGATCGTCGTAAAACCTGCCGATGCCCTGGCCACCATATACGAAAATATATTCCATGGTCGACGTCGCCACCATCGAGTGGCGGTATCGGCCTCCAACGTCTGCCTCCCCCAATTCCTCCCACATGTTGCCACGCCTCCAAATGTCTTCGTCGGCGAGCTTGGGGTAGTAGGCCTGCGCCGCAAAAGGAATCTCGTAACGCCAAACGTCGGAGCAGACACCGCCTGTGCAATACGGGCCGATGCCCCCATATATGTACATGTACATCCGCTTCTGGTCTGAATCGCTTGACTCCACAATCTCGACGATGGCCGCTGCATGCCCGTACCGGGGGGACGGCATTCCGAAACGCTCGCCTGTGGTCTCGCTAATGGCCGAATCTGGCTTCATGAAGTCCCATCGGTTGTCATTGATGTCGTAGCGCCAGATGTCGTTTGTGGCGAACTCGCTGCACATCTGCCACTCTGTAAGCAACTCCTCACTACTCAATCTCTCGCAATACTTAAAAATGAGGTGTGGGGTTCCCTGCTCGTCGTAGTAGTACTGGCTCGTGTTGAACGTCCTGCCCCCAAACACTATCATCATCGGGGAACTGAACGGGACTGGGTAGCCGAGCACGTCGCGCGAACGCAAACAAAACCTCCGGTTTCGGCAACAACTGTCGGGACAATCTTGGTCCTCCAACGGAATGGATGGGGTTATCCCGCGGTCATCATCATCAAAATAAGATGATCTGAAATAGAAATTACCTTGCCAATACTCTTCCCCACCGAGGCAGGCCAAATCGGTGAGGCAAGTCTCGTCGCAAGATTCGACGGGCACCTTTGTGAGTGGGTCCGCACAGAGGAACTTCTTCGCGTGCTGCTCGAACTCCCACGTGAAGTAAATTACAGCACTGTGCAAGTATCGTGGCAGCGGTGCGATAGGTATTGTATTGCATTCGACGGTCGCGATGCAAGTGTCGTCGTAGGTTGATTCCCACTGTGGGAATACTTTTTTCTGCCAGGGTCCTTCAGACTCCTGCGCTGGTAGGAGCCACGTGTAGCTGGGCCAAGGCCCCTCTGACACGTTGAATTCCCCCAGTGGGTCGGTCGCGCTGGCAAGCATTGTGAAGATGTGTCTAAGGTAACCGACCCTATATCGCAGATGGTACTCAGTGAAGTTAGCGTGTTCGAAGATGCTGTGAGTGATGGTCATGCATCCCTGCATGGTCACAAGGGGTATAGCACATATAGGGAGGTATGTGATTATCCCTTGCTGATTGACATAATCTATCAGTGCCATAAAATCTAAGTGATCTGTAAAATCTGCAGTGGTGTTTGTTACATTGGAAAAATTGTACGGGATGACAACCGATTCGTTGGAAACGTTGGATGCTGGATCGTTCATGGCGAACTTTGCGTTAATGACTTTCGCAGTTCTAGTGTCGATTACGCCCTGTACCCAAATGGCGAAACTCATGTTGATCGCACTGTTGCTTGATATGTTTGTGTTCAAGAAGTCCCGGTAGCCCGTGACATAGACGTTGCCGACTTCGAAAGGATAAAACATGAGCTTGGTGTCGTCAATGTTCACACATAGCTCGGTGGCCGACACACGATCCTCAAACTCCTCTCGGCGGCGAGCCCAGGGGCGAACGCAAAGGGGGCGGGCCTTCTCGGAAGGCTCGGAAGGCATCCGGTCTTCTGACAAGTTTTCTCAGCCCTTCCCGAAGACAGAGACATCTTTTAAGAAGGCCGGAGTTAGGTTGGGCATGTCCCCCTACAGGCGAACTTTGGAAGAACAGTAAAAAACAGTCAGGAAAGATCCCCAAATGACCAAAACTAGTCAAAACAATCGTCCCAAGATTTTTTGTGGGACTGTTTTTGAGCACTCCTCCTGTAGAGGAACAGGTCCGACTTAAAGCCAGAGCGCTTCTGAGAAGCCCCGCCGCCGTCTGAGAAGGCCTGCCCCCTCTCACTCCCCCCCGGGGCGTGTCGCCGATCCTCTGTTCGAGCCTCCGTGAAGAGATCCTCATCCCAGAACATCCACGGCAACGACGAATTATTCGTGAGATCGCCACCGATCCGCCACCGTGCCTCTCGGCACGCTGGGGCACGTGATGATGCCTACAGTCGGGGCCTTGACCTAAGGAACCCCAAATAAGGAACGAGGCCCCTTTTTTCCATAAGTTGAACTTCGATTTCCTATCGAAAACCTAAGGAAATCCAGGGCAAGCTGCGAAACACTTAAGGAACGCGGAGCCCCTCCCCAACGAAAACTCTTCCTTCTTCAGGGCCCCGACTGTATCATAGCTGTCTGGTAGCATCTCGGTCATTCTCCAGAGACGGGGCCGCCCCCGGCGTGCCGACTTCGGCGCTGGTTCCTGACACCGCGGGGATCGCCCAACCTTTCACGATCGGCCGCCTCCGAAACTGAAGGGGCCCCAGGACACACAATCAAATACACACAAATAAAAAGATTCCCCATATTTTCCTACATTTTCTGGGTTTCTGTCTTGCCCCCCACTTCCCATATTTTCGCATATGTTCTGGGGAATCGCCGATGAATTGTGTCTGTGTGTTTCTTTCCCTCCTGAGAAACGTCAGGTCGTTCAACACCGACCGGTCCTGCGTCGCCGGCAGTGTTCAGAATGGAACGCCAGCGGCAGGGTCGCCGACGCGAACCTACAGTATCGACTTACCCACGTCATTGGCCCGTCGGCGCTCCCGATGTGGCTCCAAGACGACAGGCGACCGCCACAAGATAACTGCAGTAGGCCCCAGTTCAGTGCGGCCCCAAGAAGCCCCCAAACACGCGCTCATGGAATGCTCCAGCTCAACACTGGGAAGGGTATCACTTGACAAACAGTTGTGCAACCATCATGCTGCCATGAGGAACGCCAACCTATGGCGTGGAGAGGCTTTTCTGGTCACTGCGAGCTGCGGCTACGAGTAGGTTCCCCGACCCAAACCTACGGAATGGCCAGACAATGTGAGCCCATCCTCAGCCCGACGTGTTTTTTCTTCAGCGTCTTGACTGGGTGTTCAATGTTCCGGATCATTCATCGCTTCAGCATAATCAGATGGCCCTGGGAAAGCAATGGAACACGCTCCAAGACTGCCCCAGAAGGCGCCAGTGGGGCTCCTTACAGTCAGGTGGCGATTGTGGCTGGTGAAATCTTTGAGCGCGTGCCAACATATCGGAAGCGCGTGCGCACGCGCGCACGCGCTCAGGATGGAACTCGCGCTCAGGAGGCGGAGGAGGAGGAGGAGGAGGAGGAGGAGGAGGAGGAGGAGGAGGACGAGGAGGAGGAGGAGGAGGAGGAGGAGGAGGAGGAGGAGGAGGAGGATTAGGAGGAGGAGGAAGTCACGCTGGCGCCGGGGCTCGGCCTCTCACGCTGGCCGCGCACGAACGCGCACGCGCACGCGCGCGCCCACTTGCACGCGCACGCGTGCTTGCACGCCCATGCGGACTGCCCCCGTTTGAGGGCGATGCGCGATCACATTGCTAGGACCCCCGCCCCCTTGGCCCCGTTCCCCCCTTCCGACTTCCTTTCTTGTATATGTACATATATGTATAGATGTACATATATATACACAGATATAGGTGTAAAAACCTGAGCGGGGTTTGGTTTCAGCGCCCACTATTTAGATTGGAAAATGGTTCCAGCATATTCTGCCGTCGAAAAAAGGTGGGCTCCAGAACCCAATCTCATGAGTGACTGGTTCCAGCAGCCCGCGGCGTGGGTTCCAACACCGACTTTCGACCTTAGAAAACTGGTTCCAGCAGATTATGCCGTCAAGAAGGATGGGTTCCAGCACCCGAATTATACTAAAGGCCATGGTTCCAGCAGCCCACGGCGTGGGTTCCAGCATTTAATTCTAACAAGGGTAAGCCTGTCCAACACATTATGGCGACAAGACAGGCGGGCTGTAGCATGGAAAGGCAGCTAGGGCGACCCGCGACCAATTCACGAATCCTCTTACAATCCGTCAAACATGCCACTGGTACAATATTCACCGAACTGTAGGCCGGTACAAAGTCACTCGGAATCAAAACAGCCTCAACAGCAAACGGAACCAGGCATACACAAAAACTTTCGGAACTTCGCGCGGATTTCTTGGGTCGGCGCTGGACCCCCCTCCCCTGCGCGCAGAGCACACCATGAGGGGGGCCGGAGGCATCATCAGGGGGGCCGGAGGCGTCATCAGGGGGGCCCAGCACAGATTTAAGAAATCCGCGCAGAGCTCCGAAAATTTCTGTTCATGCAACTTTTTCTTCTCTTTCTTCTTCTACTCAAGACGGCCTGATACCTCTCCAGGATGGCCCAAGATCGCCCCAAGAAGGTCCCAATACGGTCCCACGAACCGACCAGACTCCCCTGAGATGGTTTTGCCGAGCCGCCTTGGGATAGCGCGGGAGATCGAACCATCGCACCAAGACGGTCCCAAGACCGTCAGCAGCCCCCCCCGAAGAGTCCCTCCAGAGGCCCCCAGAAGGCCCACGTGGGGATCTCACAAGGCCCCAAGAAGCCATTCAAAAATCTTCCAGGAGGCCACAACGAAGCAGCGCGGCAATGAAGGGGCCCAGGGACACACAAATACATAGACACAAATCCCAGGCTTCCCCATAGTCTTCCATGCTTCTTCCATGTTTTATGGGCTTTCGCCTTCCCCCCCTGTCAATATTTTTCCAGCTTTTCCCTGGGGGTCGACGATTCATTGTGCCTGTGTGTTTCTTCCCCTCCTTAAGCAATCGTGTAACGTCCACCACCACGCCACGCCGCAGCATCGCGGCGCCGTTTCCCCGACGGCCCCCACAGCATGGCTCGTCTGGCCCCGGTCGGGACGGCTCGGCAGGACCGTCTCTTGAGCAGGGACCGACCGTCCTGGCATTGCTATAGGCCTACCACAACATGAGAACCCAACATTTTTCCAATTATTCACTGCGTGGAGCTCCCCATACGTGCATCTTTTTGCACGGACTGGGTGTGAGTGAATCTGAGTATGAGTATGATGAGTACGAGTCTGAGCACAAGTGAGTCTGGGACATCCTCGCAATCTGCCCCCCCTGGGGTGCGAATGCCAATGAGTCTGAGTATGAGTATAGTGAGTAAGAGTCTAAGTCTGAATGGGTCTGAGTGCGAGTGAGTTTGACTACGAGTGAATCTGAGGGTGGGTGGGTCTGGGTGTGAGTGATTCTGAGTGTGAGTAAATCTGAATGTGAGTGCGTCTGAGTATGAGTATGATGGATATGAAACTGGCCCTGAGTGGGTCTGAGTACGAGTGAGTCTGACTACGAATGAGTCTAAGTGTGCGTGGGTCAAAGTGTGAGTGAGTCTGAGTGTGCGTAAGTCTGGGTGTGAGTGAGTCTGAGTATCAGTATGATGAGTGCGAGTCTGAGTATGAGTGAGCCTTAGCACGAGTGCGTTTGAGCATCAGTGAACCTAGGACATCCTCGCAATCTGGGCCCTCTGGGAGTGCGGAAATCAGCGCCTCGCCATAGACATCCTCAGAATCTGCTTTGACAGCAGACGAGTCTGACCACCGAAACATGCAAACCGCTGGAGACATCCTCGAAACCTGGCCCCCCTGGGGTGCGACAACCCGCGCCTCGCCTGAGACTTCTTCAGAATCTGCTCCGAAAGCGGAGGATGTTGAGGACCAGAACAGGCAAACCGCCTGACACATCCTCACCATTTGGGCGCGAACGGAGGCCGTGCAATACACCTCGCGGCCCCCCTATTAGGAGTGCTAAAACCAGCGCCTCGCCCGAGACATCCTCAGAATCTGCTCCAAAAGCGGAGGATGTTGAGGACCAACACAGGCAAACCGCCTGAGACATCCCCACCATTTGGGCGCGAACGTAGGCCGTGCAATACCCCTGGCGCCCCCCCCTAGGAGTGCTAAAACCAGCAAGCCGCTTCATCATCATCATCATCATCATCATCATCATCATCATCATCATCATCATCATCATCATCATCATCATCAGCATCGTCATCATCATCAGCATCATCATCATAATACTCATCCATCATTCACCATCACCATCATACTCACATCATACTCTCAACATACCATGGTCATCATCATGACAATCGTCATTATTGTCTAGTGCAGAAAGGGAGGAGGGGAGGGGTGGTCCGGCGCGGTCGGATAATAACAAGAACCCCATCCTGTGGATATGGGGAATAACAAAAGCAATGTTCTTAGAACATAAACCCGATCTGTTAAAACAAGACGGTCTCAGCCAGAAATGTTCTAAGAACATTTCGTGCAGACCACAAACAATTCTTATAACATTCTTTAGTGGGCCTATAGGCAAGCCGGGACGCTTCGCCACTGCTTGAATCTCCCGTGTGCTGTAGCGCGCGGTTGGCACAACGGCGGGGTTAGCCGCAGGCAGCTGTACGGTATCGAGGCTCAGATTATCGACATTGTGGGACACGTTGCTCGAGATGTTGTCCAGGTCTATAGGAGTAACGTTAACGTATTCACTCGACATGCAATCCTCCACGCGAAAGTCTTCAAGGCTTCCGTTCACGCTCATTCCGCCGATGCCTGGCGCCAAGACCTGCTGAACGGTGTCTCCTGTCTCGTTGACCTGAATCACAATAAGTCTAACTACATGGCCATTCATGCCCCATGATCTTGTGATCCAACCGCTAATCACATTGCCGATCATAACAGCATTGCCACTGCTGCCACTGCGCAGATCACACCGTCCACAAATCGATTCTGCGATTGATTTATCGGATCAACCAATCAGCCTGATTCGATCCCGATCGATGCGATCAATTCGACCGCGATTAACATGGTGCGAACAACATGCGCTGAGTTCATGGCCAAATCGCACAACAACGAAGAAGACACAGTGCACAGAGTTCCTTCCGTTAGCGGTGTCCATGCGTCCACTCGGATGTAGTCGACAGGCAGGCCGTTCAATCCCGCGGACAGACGCTCCACGGTGCGCGACATCATCGAGACCAGGTCTACAGTGTCGACCTCGTAGAGCGACGTGATTGTCGCGACCTGCACGCCAGGGTCCACCTCGGGGATCTCATAGATGTTGGCTTGCAGCCACTCCTGCGCATCAGCCAGGGAAACCAACCGAGCAGCAACGACCGTGCACGCCACGCCCGAAAACCACGCGCGGGGCAAGGGCCGCGTCCACCTCGGGCCTGGCATGCCGCGGGCCTCCTGCGAGAGGGGCGCCGCACACCGAGCCCTCTGCCACCGCGCGTGCGGCCCGGCCCACCGCAGGGGCGCCCGGGAAGCCCCGTCAGCCTGGAGAGAGGCAGGACTGCAGAAACCTTCGGCTCGCGGAGATCTGCGCGGATCTTGGATCGGCGCGGACCCCCCCCCCTCCCCAGAGCGCGCAATCGGCGATCTTCTGACCCGGGTCAATCCAGACCCGGGTCAGCAGGAAACTAACAACTGCAATGCAGGAACAAAAAAACTGCAACGCAGGTCTTCGCAAACCCGGGTCAGCCAATAGGCGCGGCCGCCTCGCGGCCACGAGCGGCTCGCTAACCCGGGTCAGCCAAGAGGGGGTCCTCGCAGGATCCTGCAGGATCTGGTGCCCTGGCGGACCCCCGTTTGCATTGACCCCCGTCTCTCAAGGCTCCCGACGCAGCACGCCAGGGGCGGCGCCCTGAGGCGCCGCTGGGGCGACCAGGGTCCAGCGCCGACCTGAGAACTCCTCGCGGGCCTCCAGCAGTCTTCGGTCAGGAACTTCTGGATGGCGTGTCGCGGGCGGCGGCCCCAGCGGCACGCTGCGCCCTGCGAGTGGGCAGCGTGTCGCTCCGCTCCGCGGGAGGCGGGAGGCCGGAAAGGCTCGGGACGTCGACGCCTCGGGACCAGGGCGTGGATGGCGTTTCGCGCCGAGGCGGGATAGGCCAAAGCAGTCGGCGCGGCAGGCTAAGCCAACGTTCCTGACCGTGTGTTCGCGCAGTTCTTGTTGAAGGGCAAGAACATCACAAACACATATTGTTAGGTCCTCGCGGACTTCTTGGATCTACGCTGCACTCATCCCCGGCGCGCGGATCGCGCCAGGGGCGGCACAGGAGGCGCCGTCAGGGGGGGGCCCGCGCTGATCCAGGAAATCCGCGCGGAGCTCCGACAGTTGATGCTTATGAGGTTGTTCGCTCTTCGAGTTTTGTTCTCCTTCTTGGTGGCGCGCACAGGGGGGGGTGGAGGGAGGGGGATGGCTTCTTAGAAGGCTGCTCCTTGGAGGGCGGCGGCCTTGCATCTACAGGCCCGCGCCTTCTAAGAAGCAGGGGTGCTTCCGAGAAGCCCTCCCCGCTTCCCCCCACCCCAAGCGGGAGGAGGGTGAGAAGGGAGGACGAGGGCGAGGACGAGGGGGAGGAGGAGGAGGAGGAGGAGGAGGAGGAGGAGGAGGAGGAGGAGGAGGAGGAGGGAGGAGGAGGAGGGAGGGAGGAGGAGGAGGAGGAGAGGAGGAGGGGGAGGAGCAGGAGGAGGAGCAGGAGCAGGAGCAGGAGGAGGAGGAGGAGGAGGAGGAGGAGGAGGAGGGGAGGAGGAGGAGGGGGAGGAGGAGGAGGAGGAGGAGGAGGAGGAGGAGGAGGAGGAGGAGGAGGAGGAGGAGGAGGAGGAGGAGGAGGCGAGGAGAGGAGGAGGGCGGGAGAGGAGGAGGGCCTTCTGCGCGTGGCTGACCTCTGGCGGCCGCGCTCCCCAAGCCGCGGCCCGCAGTCCACCTCCGCGAGGCGCCCAAAGCTTCCTCCCGCGGGCGCGCGTCGCAGAGCCCGCGAGGCCCTGCCGCGAGGCCTGGTGCCCGCGGGAGAGGGGGGCCCGGGGGGGCTGCTGCGACCGCCGCTCGAGCCCGCGGCGCTGCGCGCCGGGGACCCCGAAGCTCTCCTCCTCAGATCCTCCTCCTCCTTCTCCTTCTTCTTCTCCTCCTCCTCCTCCTCCGCCTCCTCCTCCTCCTCCTCTCCTCCTCCTCCTCCTCCCCCTCCCCCTCCTCCTTCCACTCGGCGCCGGGTTGGGCGTCGCTTAGCTGGGGGGGGGCGATACCCAAGCCCCCTCGCGTCGTGAAAAAATCGTGACGGAACTTTTTTCGCGATTTTCGGCCCCTGGGGACCCTCGCCGGGCCTCGGGACCGTCAAGAAACGACTCAGGATGGAAAACCGGTCTGGGGGTGCACCTTTCGTACCCCGTTTGGGCCCAACCCCTTCCTTTCGGGCCCCTAAAAAGTTGCACGGAAAGGGGGGCACCTGTCTCCGCACCCCATGCCTCGCCCCCCCCCCCCCTTCCCCCCCTTCTCACGCAACGGCCGAGCGACGCTGCGCGCTGGGGTCCTGGGAGCTCCCCAGATCCTCGAAGGCATGACTTTTCGAATCTGGGCGTTTTTCAATGTTTTCCCAGGACCTGGCGATGCGATGTTCTCCTCGATCGTGCCATGTGCGGGCGATCTCGGCCCCACGGGGCCGAGATCATAGTGCTATCCGACGAATGCGTGCTTTCCTCGATCTCGGCCCCGGGGCCCGTCATCCGGCCTTGGGACAAGAGAACAACGGGCCTGGGGCGAAAAACTCCGGTAGGTTCGTGCGGCGTCGGCGCGCGCCGCAAAGGTTTCTGACACCGCGTCGATCGTTACTCCTTGAATCGTTCGCGGCCCCGATCGCTCAAAGCTGAATTCCGTCGGGTCTTGCGGCGCAGCCGTGCCCATCGATGCTTCCGCGTCGCAGAATTCAACCTCGAACGCCTTCGCTGGCGTCGCTGGCACGCCAACGCCGCATGAACCTATCGTACAGTCGGGGCGTTGACCTAAGGAACCCTAAATAAGGAACGAGGCCCCTTTTTTCAATGAGTTAAGCTTCGAATTCCGATCGAAGACCCGAGGATAACCTAAGGCGAGCTGCAAAACAACTAAGGAACACTGAGCCCCTCCCAGACGAGAAGGGTTCCTTCTTCAGCGCCCCAACTGTACCCCTGGGGAAGCGGTCGGGACCCCCCCTGAGATCGGCGAAAAACATGCAACGTCGTGCACACATCGCGGCCGAAGCTCTGGACCCCATCTTTCTTCTGCTGCGTGCTCAGATCTGCACCGATCTGTGAGGAACCTGGGGCCCCCCAGTTCGGCGACAGCGCCCGACGCGAAAAAGAATACCAATTGCAACGCCAGGATCTCGGTGACCACCCCTGGGGGAGGCGATCGAGGCCTCGTGGGCCGCGGGTCGAACAACTTCTCTGGGCGGGTGCCAGGGCCGCGCCGCAAGCGGGGTCGGGGCAGCGCGGCTCGAGCAGAGGGGGGTGGCCTGGGAGCCCAGTTAAAACGAGGCCACGACGAGGAACACATCGGGTGGGGACAACTTGGGGATCTCTGAGATCCGGCGGCTCTGGAGGATGTCTCGGGCGCCGCGGCCTTCTCAGAGCGTTCCAGAACGCTCTGGAACGGATTTATCCTCGTCCTAGCCCCGCCCGACCAATGAAGTTCCACAGGGCTCGCACGATGCGATCGAGTGCGCACTGGAGATAGTGTCAGGAACTTTCGCTTAGCGCGTCGCGGCGGCGGCCCTGGCGACACGCTATGCCTCGCAAGCGGATGGCGTGCCGCTCCGCTTCGGAGGCGGGCGGCTCGGCAAGGCTCGGGACGCTGCCGCTTTCGAACAGGGAGGTGGTGAGCGTGTCGCGTCAGAACGTGAGGGTCCAGGGGCCCGAAACCGGGCGAAAACGCCCGTTGCAACAAAACACTGCAACGCCAGGATCTCGGGGGTTACTGCGCTGCGGGTCGAATTGGTCGGGCACGTCCACTGCTGCGTCGCGGGCGGCGGCTGCTGCGCTCTGGAGGTTGTGCGCCCGGGGGCTACTGCGCATGCGGAGGGTAGCACCCCGCGTGAAGGTCGAGCGAAGCCGCCCAGATTTTTGGCGCCGGGCACTGCCCGACGCCGTGGGCCGGGGGAGGAAGACAGAGGGGGGATGGGGGCGGGGTCGAGCGAGATGGGCAGGGACGGGAGCAGAAGGACAAGGAGAAAGAGGAGGAGCAGAAGGAGGACAGGGAGGAGGAGGAGGAGGAGGAGGAGGAGGAGGAGGAGGAGGAGGAGGAGGAGGAGGAGGAGGAGGAGGAGGGGAGGAGGAGGAGGAGGGAGGAGGAGGAGGAGGAGGAGGAGGAGGAGGAGGAGGAGGAGGAGGGGAGGAGGAGGAGGAGGAGGAGGAGGAGGAGGAGGAGGAGGGGAGGAGGAGGAGGAAGAGGAGGAGGAGGAGGAGGAGAGGAGCAGGAGCAGGAGGAGGAGGAGGAGGAGGAGGAGGAGGAGGAGGAGGAGGAGGAGGAGGAGGAGGAGGAGGAGGAGGAGGAGGAGGAGGAGGAGGAGGAGGAGGGAGGAGCAGGAGGAGGAGGAGGAGGAGGAGGAGGAGGAGGAGGAGAGGAGGAGGAGGAGGAGGAGGAGGAGGAGGAGGAGGAGAGGAGAGGGAGGAGGAGGAGGAGGAGGAGGATGAGGAGGAGGAGGAGGAGGAGGAGGGGGAGGAGGAGGAGGAGGAGGAGGAGGAGGAGGCCGATTGTGATGACGGTGATGATGATGATGAGGGCCGCTGATGATGATAATGAGCTGTGTACGTGTGAGTGGGTGTGTTCCTGCGCGGGGTGCCCCGAAAAACAAAAACAACACTCAGGATGTGGGGAAAGACCAAACAACAAACGTTCGCAGATTGGCTTCGACACGGGCCGCGCACGGAGGGAGAAGGGCGAGAGCTGGAGCCGCCCGCCAAGAGGCCCCCCCGCCTCTTGGAAGGCGTGGGGCGCTGGGACTCTCAAGAGGGCACATCATTCAAAGGAGCCCCGTGCACTCGAGAAGCTTAGCTGCCCTGATACGCCCGTGTTGAAACGCGGCGCGTGTCGTGCTCCAAACGTCCGTTCGAAAATGCTGCGCGCTGGTTCGGCCCGTGTTGGCCCACGCTTTGGCGAGCGTCTCGCGCCAGACCTACGTGTTCAGTCTACGTGTTGAGCTCAACGTCAACACGCTAGCGTGTTGCGCACAGAGGCAGCTGAGTTGAGCAGGCCGCCCCCCTCGCCCTGGCAACTTCTGCCCGCCACCAAGAGGGCACCTTGGGCGGACCGCCCCGTGTCCCAGAGTCTCGCTCCACCCCGCCTCCACCTCCACCTACATCTGCCTCCGCTGTTTGTCCTCCTCCTCCACCTCCTCCTCCTCCTCCTCCTCCTCCTCCTCATATCCTCC